AAAAAGTCTTTGCCCCTTTTATAAAATTCTTGATTAGGTGTTTGTCCATAACCCGTTTTGTGTCTTTGAACCAGCTTATCGAACCAGGTTAGTCCAGTTCTAGATTGCCTTTGATACGTCCTAGAACTGGTTTGTCCTCTAGTTCTATTACCATAAAAGGGTTGGTTCTGAAAACTCGGTTTTTGATTCATTTGAGAGTCTCTTGGAACATATCCGAGACCAGCAGTCTCGTTTTCCTTTCTTTTGTACTGAGAGGGTCCAGTTCTAGAATGCTATCTAGACCTGGTTCTGACTTTGGTACTATATGGTTGGTATTCCGGTTTGTTTTTGAAATCTTGTCTCTCGTCCTCAAGGCGATTGAGATGATTAATGAGCAAGGCAATGTCCAGAATTTTTCTCAGAAGTTTTTCTTCATCATTAACTTGTTTATTCATACTATCGAGCTTGAGTGAGCAAATGAGATTATCTTGTTCTAAAACCACTTCACTGTACTTGAGCCTTTCATCTATTAACTCTCCCACTTTTGTTTCCAGCCTTATCTTGGCTCTAGTGGCTTCCTCGAGTTTAGACTCAAGTTCGGTGATTTATGATTTAAGATGATCGTTTTCAGAAAGACTTTGATTTAGATCGATAGTTAATCTTTTAAAAAAATTCCGAACCTTGCCTTTAGAAAGGGAATCAAATTTAGAAAGAAAGCTTTCCAAGTTTACCTCGAAAGTCTCTTGGTCGGATTCTTCATCGGAATTAGCCATGAGGCACAACCCTGCATGATTTTGGTTTTCTTCTTCTTCTTCTTCTTCTTCTTCATCATCGGATGAATCTCCCCAAGCTGCCATCATTGCCTTCTTGTGGTCTCTGTTGAACCCTTTATCTTCACTGGACCGTCGATGAGCACTGATCTTGTTCTTGTCGTAGGTTCTATCATTTTTCTTTTGAGGACAATCTTTTGCCCTGTGCTCAAAGGACCCACAAACAAAACAACCTTGGTTATTAAAAGATTGAAAACCTTTCTTACCTTGCTTGTTCCGGTTGCCTTTGAATTTTCAGTACATCTTTCCGAATTGCTTGGCAAACATGCTCATTTCGTCTTCCGATTCACTTTCGGAATCTTCTTCTTCCTCTCTGGGCCTTGTGAGCAATTCCTCGCTCCTTCCTCACATTTTCGGCATCTTTTTCTTCTTGTAGACCTAACTCATATGTCATGAGCGAACCGGTCAAGTCTTCTAGCGTCATGGTGGAGAGATCTTTAGCTTCTTCTATAGCCGTAGTTTTGGGCTTCCATGCGGAGGGCAAGCTTCTCATAACTTTTCTCACTTGATCTTCCACAGTAATATCCTTTCCAAGTGTCGAAAGCTCGTTTATAATATTAGTAAAGCGTGTAATCATATCCCTAATTGACTCTTTAGGTTTCATCACGAACAATTCGTAATTACGCATAAATATGTCAATTTTGGATCTTTTTACACGCGCGGTACCTTCATGCGTAACCTCGAGTAAATCCCACATTTGTTTTGCGGATTTGCATCCAAGAACACGGTTGTGCTCAGCAGGACCAAGTCCACAGATCAAATATTTCAATGCTTGGGCATTATGCTCGAGTTTACGATAATCATCAGCAGTGAATTCAGATTTGGGTTTAGGAACAACCTTACCTTCGGAGTCCACCTTAGTAATGACGTTATCACCTGCCTCAATTACATTCCATACCTGATAATTCTCAACTTTGATGAAGTTCTCCATTCGACTCTTCCAGAATTGGTAAAATTCGCCGTTGAACAGCGGTGGTCATTGAGTCGAGTACCCTTCTTCCAATCGTTCAACCGTATTCATACTACCGGATCTCTTCCCAAGGTTTTACCCTTTATGTGGTGAAGACCGGCTCTGATACCAATTGATGAAACGGTTAGTAACACAAGAGGGGGGGGGGTGAATTGTGTGTGTGTGGAACCATACCAGTTTTTCGCACAATTCTAGTGTGGGGTCCAGGGAAATGCGGAATAGTAAAGTGCACGAGAATTTAATGAGGAAAAATCCTTTGGCTCAAAGGGATTAAAAAACCTCGACCTCCCTCAGAGGAATTTTAAACAATTTCACTAAAAAGCCTTTTGTGGTTACAAGGTAAATTCTCCTAATATACCCTTGAGCCACCCCAACTCTATCCTCTCTAGGAAGAGTTATGCATCTCTACCTTGCGGGTAGAGAGCCTCTCAGCTTTACAACAAAGCTCTCACACACACAACCCCAACCCGAGGAAGCTACACTTTAGCCTTTCCTCAAACTTCAATTACAAAATAAAGAAGAGAAAAGAAACTATATCTAGAACTCTGTAAGTAGGTCCAGGTGCCTTGGTCTTGAAACTCTCTTATAAGTATTTCTCTCTATAATTGTTCAGTCCAGCACACCCGCTTCTCTTGATCTTCTGTCATATATATAGCTTTATGCAGCCCGTCTGTTGCTCCTCTTTCCTTAGTTGGTTGCTTGGTAAATTTATGGACTTGCCTAATTTTGAATTGCATTTCTCCATAATATTTCTCATATTCCATCTCGAGATATGTAGGATAGTCAAGTTAAGATACTTAAGATATTCTAATCACGCATACACGAAAGTAGCATACCAATTACGGACAAGGAAATTATTTCATAAATGCAATGGATCAAATATGGAATATATTTCAAACAAGGATTACTTTTTAGATCCGTATAGCAAGAGAAATAATTCACTTAACAAGTATAACTTCCGATTAAGCATTCACATCAAGTAAAGATACTTTCCATAAAGTATTTAAACAATATTTTTAATGAGTGGATATCAAGTCAAGTATGGAAAGATAATAAGCACCCAAATAAGCAAAATACGTATATATAGAGTGTACATGTATAGAAAGATATTTTTGCTTAGAAATAATAATCTTGACAAAATATATAAGCACTCATATAAGGAAAGTATATCAATCAAGTAAGCGTAATCAATATTAATTCGTGTCATATCACGGAACTAGAATTGGTTCTGCATTAGTTCCACATTCATTGTTAGTCAATAACATACTAATAATATCCATTTGGTCCTGAGGATAGTTATGTCCTTTGTTTCGTAAGGAACTGTGAACGGTTCCATCCGCCGTTCCACCTGCAGATTAGTCATCAACAAAACAACATACTCAACCGTATGCATATCTAGGTATGGAAGGGTGTGTCGTAATCATGGAGGGACAAAGTGATGATAGTCTGTCTTTTTCTGAATGCATGGGTTTATGTTGAGGGAGTGTCCACATATGTACGGGTTTCTGGTTGGGCAGGCAAGGTATAATAGAAAGAATGGAAGTTTCGGTGGGTATAGACGTATAGTAGAACTGAAACTGGGTGGAAGGTTGATGCTATTTTGGGAAAAAGAAAATGTAACACACTACAAGATTTTGGGTTTATCACAACACGAAAAAATTGTTTGCATAATAATAATAAAACTGTTGTCGTTATTTTCAGCAACGATTTCAAAACTGTGACAATGTAAGGCGTCATGTTGTCTATACTTTTGTAATCATCCCTCACGAATCACAACCCAACAAAGGTATACTATAGTAATCACCTTATCACCATCTATGGTCTTCAAAGTCTAAATACAAACAATAAAAGTGTCTTGATCTTCATGAGCAAACATAAAACAAACTTGATTGAATCATTAAAAATCACAACATATAGAAGGAAACTATTGATGGAAACTATGACCCAGGAACCCACGGCCACATACTTCCACTACTACGAACAGATCCAATAGGCCCAAGTGGATCCAACGCATCAAACAAGACTCCGGACGGCCTCTGGTACGTACGGCTTTCGGCACATGAAGGCCCTGATACGTGCAGCCTCTGGCACACGACGGTCCTCGGGGACGTACAGCCTTCGGCACATGAAGACCCCCAGGGTACGTACGACCTTCAGCACATGACGGGCCCTCCCGACTACGTACGGCCTTCTGCACATGCAGAACCGGCCATAGGGGCAATTACCCTAGACAAATGTCTAGGGCCCCCAAATTTTAGGGGACTCCAATTTTTAAATTAAGTCCAATAGTATTATGTATGTGTATTCAATTTTAACTGTAAATATTTAATTAAAAATTAATACCTAATTAAAAAACTGCAGACGGACTATTAAACGATTTGAGGGTGGAAGACTCGAAGTCTCGAAGAATCGGGGAGTGATTGGCGACCGGCGACCGGCGTGGCGGCGTCTCAGCGTCGGATGCAGATTATAGTGGCAAGTTGCAAGCACTCCGACCAAGCTTCAAATTTAGGTGATTAGTTCTTTACGTTTTTTCTTTGTTAGACTTAGTCGGCTAGGACAATAGGGCCTACGGACTTGATATACGATAGTATTCTAAATATCTTGAGGTATTAAATAATTGAAATACTACGTAGTAATTTGTTATTTTGATTTATTGAAATATACTCCGTATTGAATACTTATTATCTTTTATTAGTGATCGATTAAACTTGGTGAAATAAATTTATATTTATGAACCATTAACTTAAACAAAACTTAGTTAAACGTAGCGTGAATTAACTTTTAATTATATTATTGTGTTAAATAAAACATACTATCTCTTCCCGAAAAGGTTTGTCATGTTGACTTTTTTAATCAATGATGACAAACTTTGGACAATATTTGTATATAATTTATAAATTTTAAAATTTTATGAAATTATTTTGAATAAGGAACATTTTGATACAATTTTCATATTCAAAATAATATCATATTAAAATACTCCCTCCGTCCCGCTAAAATTGTCTCATTTTACCTTTTTGGTTTGTCCCATTAAGATTGTCCCATACCAAATTTAATAAAGTTTGTATGACTCTAAATCATTCTTACTTTATCAATTCAATATCAACCACATAAATCACTTTTTATTACTCCCTCTTGTCCCGTTGTCAGTGGAACGAGAGAGTATATCATTGCTCAAAGTTGATTGTCATGGACATAAAAAATTCAATTTAGCAAACCTTTTCGAGACAGAGAGAGTATTTAAACAAAATTTCTATATAACTGTCTAGGGCCTCATAATTACTCTAGCCGGTACTGTGCACATGAAGACCTCCGGGGTACGTACGGCCTTCGATCGGCACTACCCTGACAAGATCTTCTCCCTGCACGCTCCAGATCGCCGCATTAAATGCGGTGTCACGTACAAGTATCGCATTAAATATGGTGTCACATGCTATGCCGACGACCCGAAAGATGAAACGTATCGCTATAGAATCCGAATAATGGAAAACTATCAATTTAGGAACATGCTCTGCAGCAGTCCAATTGAGATCTTTGGTGCCGTTTTCTAACAAGAAATGGTATTGAGCAACTTAACCTCTGTCTTGATGCTTACAACGGCGATGGAGATAAGTACACACTACCTGTTTGTATAATTTCCTGCCCGACAATCAAACAACTGCAACTATTGATATTTGTTTGCCGGTCAATCCTCGACCGGGTAGTATGTTTTATGGGGTTTCAATTCCTCTTTAGAGTTCAATTGCGTTGAGTTTCACCGTGATGATAGCCTCACAGTTATCCCTCGTATTCCTTATCTTTAGGTGCTAGCGTTCTGGGATTGTGATGGGATAGATAATTTCGTGATCAATGCTCCAAGACTTGAATACCTCGACTTCATCACTACTGAGTACGTGGCTGAATGGAAATGATTTGAAATTCATTTTCATGTCATTGAAACTCTTTGCTTTTCCGCAAAGACGTTTTTGGTGGGAATCACACCTTTCGCAAAATGTTGAATCATTCATAAAAAATAGCCACAATATATCTGATTTTTCTCTAGTTTTTGTGTCATTCAAGGTTAACTACTTTTCTTTGTTTTTTGTCTTTGACTTTATAAAGTATAACACTGCTGCTAAAGTCAATGTGCAAGATAGGCTTCCAATTGCTAAAAATCTGCAAGTGATCAAGCTGCATGATTTTAGTTTTGCTCACACAAGTTGCTTCACTCTTGTTATTGAATTGCTTCGGAAATGCCCAAAGCTACGTGAACTCGAGATAAGTATGATAAAGCCTCAGGTTGTAATATCCAACAATTACCCTACGTTCTTGGTGATTCAAATTTAGATATTAATCTGGATCTCAGCGAGCTTAGAACAGTGAAGATGGAATCATTTTTAGGATCAAGAGAGGATATGCTCTTTATCAAATTAATCCTATCAAAGTCACCCTTCCTTGAAGAAGTTTTAATTAGGGAATCAGGCCACATCGATACCTCTGTGGCTTTAAAAGTACCAAGGGAGATGAACTTCTTCCCTCGGGCGTCTCCAAAAGCAAACATTGTTTTCTAGGGCCGCCAGGGGCGGCTCTATTACCTGAATACTCCCTCCGGTTCTCAAACAACTTTCCACTTTCCTATTTGGGAAGTCACGAAATTAACTTCACACTTCTTCTTATTTCCTTATTTGGCAAATTATCTACACCAAAACAGTGCAAAACATTGTCAAGCAGTGCCAACCAGTGTCCAAACAGTGCACTCCACAGTAAAGTCAAATTTATTTTCTTAATCTATGTGAAGTTAAACTGTGAACCTCTTTGAGAACCGGAGGGAGTATTAGGCATTTGTAATCCTTTATAAAGGTTATCTGCATTGATTCTACTTGCACATGTTCTGCACAAAATTCTAAGCACTTATGGTGTAATGTATTTGGTGGCATCTAATTTTCTTGTCTGCGTAGTACTCCATATTATTTTGTTACTTTTGGGCATTTCTGTTTTCATGAGGTTCCAAATAGTTGGTAATATAACCCCAGGACTTAAATACTTAAGTACCTCAGCTTCATAGATACTTAATTCGTGGCTGAATGGAAATGGGTTGAGCTTCATTTCGTTTTTTGGATGAAATGTAAATTTGTATTAACACCCAAAAGAAAACTATACATCATGGGTTCCAGATCTCCTAACCCCCCCACCCCTACCTAGTGTAGGGGTTAGAAGAGGTTTTTATTCGATCTATATTCTAAAGTCAAAAATCAAAAAAGGGGGGCCTAAGTATACAATACTAAATGCCCCATCGCCAAAAAATCAATCGGTGCTGCCAACAATGCACGCACACAGATCATAAATGTTCAAACAAAAATCATGGCCAATAAAAGGGTATAGATAACCCTAAGCCAACCCTCAAAAACATACTGAAGACCAATGTTGGAAGCCGCGGCCTCCCCATTCGTGCACCAAAGTCCATTCTTCAAAATGGGATCAAGTCAAGTGGGTATAGAGAGTAAAGTATCTTATACACCACATACTTAGTCTTTGCCACAATCTCCTCAACCGTCTTAGAAGCATTGTCAAACCGGTTCGCATTCCTCCCATGCCATATCCAATAAACAGTTGCACAAAAGGCTAGCCGGACGGATTTTGCCTTAACGGTTGATCCCTTATACTTCCTTGTAATCCATTTGGCCGCACTGTTAAGTGTTGTCATTTGGTTGCTTAAGTCCATCCAAATCCGAATCTTCTCCCAAATCTGACCTGCAAATGGACAAGTAAAGAAAAGGTGTGGAATAGATTCTAAACCACCCTTACATAAGTCGCATCTATTTACAATATGCAAATAACCGAGGCTATCCTGAGTAGGAAGCCGGTTTCTAAATGCAAGCCAAGTATTAAAAGAAAACTTTGGGGGAATATAAGATTTCCAAATGAAACTCATCCAGATTTTAACATTCCCCTTCGTTCGAAAGATCTCATAAATATTTGACGAAATCAGCTTACCATTCACACTCCTACTATTTAGTCACATGATGGTATCATTTAAATTATTAAAACATCCCAACAACTTGGTCTTAATGTGATACAACTTTTTCATCAACTGTGAATCACGGCTGTGTGGGATAAACTCCCACACCGTTTTGCCCCGGAGATATACACCGTTGACCCATCTAACCCATAGAGTGTCCTTCTTATTGTGGACATCCCAAAGGATGCGAGAGAGGAGAGCTTGATTCCAAAAAGTAGCATTTCGGATGCCTAGGCCCCCCTCCTCTTTTGGGAGACAGATATCATCCCAAGCCACTTTGGAGTATTTACCTCCCCAAAGGAACACTCTACAGATGGAAACAATACGATCAATTATAGATCTAGGTACCGGAAAAACCTGTAACCAGAAGGATTGAACTCCTTGGATAACCGATCTTATAAGCTCAACTTTTCCTGCATACGAGATACTCTTAACATTCCAAGCATTTAAAAAATCAGTAATCTTATCAATGAGTAGCGCATATTGTGCAACTGAAATCTTCAAAGGGGCCAAAGGTATTCTAAGGTACTTTACCGGGAACTCACCTTTGCCATAGTCCACAAGGTCAAGAATGTTTTGTTGCTCAAAACCAACCACACCCCCAATAAAAATGTAGCTCAAAACCAACCAACCCCCAATAAAAGGGTTGAGCTTCATTTCGTGTCATTAGGACTCGTTGTTTTTCTATACAGACGTTTTTGGTGAGAATTATGCCTTTCGTAAAATGTTGCATCATTAATAATGTTTGTCTTTCATCCCTCATATACTCCGATTTATACGCAAACCTAAGAAGAACCGTGCTTGGTGTACACGTTTTTTGTGTACACCTTTCGCACACTTGTCTGTCTACACAGACATAATTGTCTTTATGCAAACAACTCTATGTGCCAAAGGTGTACACAAAAAACATGTACACCAATCATTTTTAACCGAATAAATCATTCCTAGGTTTTAGGGCATCCTTGTCTTTGCCTCACTGTCGTGTCTTGCACTTTAATTGCTAACTTGCCATTCTTCTTTGAACCATGAATTGATATAGTAAATATTTTATGTTATTTCGGTGCATTTGTAAAATTTTCGTAATTATTTTTACATGTTTAAAAGTATTTAGTTTGAAATTTATAAAAATATTTTTATCTTTCGGAAATCGATAGTTGATAATTGGGATTAGTAAAAAAAAGATCGATTATAGTTGAGATATTTATAACTTACACATAGTTCGTTCGCATTTAAAAATGGCCTCCTATATCACGTTGTAGCTAGTTATGAACTATTTTTAGAAAATAGTCCTTATAGCTGGAACCACTCAAGAATAATCGATAGTTGAGATTATAAACAGCGGACTTGCAATAAGTGTGAATATTGTTTTCTATTTTTCTAATGTTTTTCATAATTGAACACACTTCACCGCTTCACCCGGAATTATTTCTTACATTGTAACCGTTTTAACCAATTTAACCAAACAGACATATGGTGTTTTTACTTGGATTGAAATTTAATGGTTTGGTCTGGTTTGATAAATGTTTGATCTCTATGTATTTTATAACTATTCAAATATGATTTGGTTTGATTTGATTTGAGACTGAAAACAATCCAATGTAAAAACATCCTTACAATTTATTCAATACCTATCCACCAAGTTTCAACGTTCAATTCCTTAGTTGTATATTTATAACTAAAGAATACGTACAAAACTTGTTTTATGAAAATATTCCTTAGTACTTTGTATAGGAAACTATGTTTTTCACTATTATGTACGGAGTATAGTAAATTTTGTATTTGAAAGCATTATTATTTTGGACAATAATTAGATTAATTAAAATAAGGGAAAATTTTACAAATAGTACCAAATCATAGCAGATTTCCAAATTTAAGACTACTAGTTGGCGTAAGATAAAAGTGGAACTACATTAACTATAATACCCTCAATTAATTTAAAATGAGATAGCAGACAAATCTCAAAAACCGTCGCCTATGAACAGTAAAATTTGGCAAGCAAGAAAGCCGCCGGGTTCAACGGAAAATTGCAGACTAAATATATTCTTCGACCAGGGACTCGAAATCGAAGCCGGAAAGGGCGACGACATATAGATCCGACTATGAAGAAACTAACGAAGAACATTTAGACGGTAAAGAAGAACAAACGACGAAGAGAAAGAAATAATCGAAGTAGAAGAACATTGAAAATAGGAAGAAGCCGAACAAAGACAATATGACTGTCACGCCCCGGACCTAGCCGGACACACGTCAACAACCCGCCGTACAGTACGAATAGTCAACCGCAGTCCAACTCATCCATACTACACAAGGCGTCATGAATATCATTCACACATAGTACATCCATAAACAAACATAATGTAAAACATGCATTTAAAACAGCGGAAGCATTAATACAATTGTTCAAGCCACACTTGGCATAACTAGGCATACAAGCCCCCAAAGTAATTATTAAGAAAATAGTATCCATGAGCATTAACTTAATTGTTTTTAAAATAGAACGGAAGAAGCACGAACCACGTCTTCCTCCCTTGATCCTCCCGAAGCAACGGGCAATGGTAGCAACTTCAAGTTCTACCTGAAACTGTGAGGTGGCCTCCCCCGTGAAGGGGAGGTCAGTACTTGGAAATATTTGACAAGTACAATAGCAACTATACTAAGTATAATCAACGTTTTAATTTCCAAGACCCTCAAAATAGGGTGATATCATAATATAAATAATAATTTATATTTCCCACTTATTATCTTTATAATAAGTAAATTTATTCATTTGTCGGCACACGGCCCTTCTTATATATCCTTTTTCATTTATCATTTGCACAACCCAACCCTTGAGTCCTATTATTTCTACGGGACTTGCTACCGCTGTCCGAGACCTCATGAGGCTCCCGGTTCGGACTCCAACATCCCGCCCCTGGACTCATACCCATCATCCCGTAGGAAGGTAAGGCCCTTCGGGGTCCTATCTTATGTGTTACCGCTACCGGAACCTAGTTAGGTCTCCGATTCGGATTCCACCCTAACTCGTGATCACGATGTAAGTCCATGCTATCCAACCCCGCTCTCTAGAGTCGGGAAGGGCCATGGTCCTTACTATTTCCATAATTCGACCGGCTATCCACAAGGACTACCGAACACACCCGTAGGCCAATCCTATACTTAGGATCAATTTATTATTTACTTTATCTTGGGTATCCCTTAAGGCCTACCCCTTAGTATAACTTAGAGTTCATACTTTCCTACCTTAAAGCATCTCTTAAGACTACTTAAGGCATAACATTTCACAATCCAACCTTAGGATCAATCTTAACAACATTTCACCTTAATGTCCAACTAGTATCTTAATACTAGTCAAATTAACATCAACAAACCAAGTTCTCAACTCATAGTCATATAGACAATTCCAACTGATTTTCCTTTGAAAACATCATTTATCTCAATATCCAAAATATCACTTTTAATCACTCATATATTCTAATATGAAGAAAAAGTATATTTCAACACATGTTTCATAATAAATTCCACTTTCAAGTCAACATACTCATAGCACATGAACATACACAATTTACTCCTAATTTGTATATCATGCTCCTTTTTCTCTAGACATTTAGTCTTTTCATTTTTAGGCATTATTAATCATTAATAATCCATAAAAAACACATTTAATTACCTTCGGTAATCTCATGAAATTAACTCACTAATTATAAGCAATATAGTCAGCCATCCTCACCTTATGAAGTGCTGAAATAGTTGCCTTTGCTAAGCCCCTCGATCAATCCCCGTTCTAGGCCGATTGAAGGTGTAAAACTGAACTGCTGGGCAAAAGCCGGGCGGCTTTCACGAAAGCCGGGCGGCTTTCGTGGTCTGCAGAAACGAGCAGCTCCCTTAAAGTGGCGGTTTCCGGCGATTTCGACTCCTATCGATTCACCAACTCTTCTAAGTTAAATATCACCACTTTATATCAATATTCTACACTTTTAAACGTGTAGAACATCATGTTTAATCAACCATATGATTTCTTAAAAATCATACACCATAAAACTAGTTAAAGGGTAGAAATTGTGTTCTTACCCCTTCTCCTAGCTTTTCCTTTTGGATTTCTCTTCCTCCTTGCTTTCTTTGAGCTTGGTCTTGGGGAGAAGACTTTCCTAGAGCTCTCTCTTAGTGATAGGGCCGAATGCTGCACAATGAGTGAGGGGGATGTATCTCCATCCACTCAACTCACCAAAATAATGCATGTAAGGACATGGGGGGTGTGGCTTTGTCTTGAGCCATCCCTTCCACTTAATAATCCGCCCCCCCTCACCAATTTCTTGTCTCATCCAGCCCTCACCTGTCTGCTAGAGCTCACAAAATCGTGGGGTGGCCCCCACTCATGTGGGAGGTCATCCCATCGTGTCCCGGCTTGTATAATCGGCCCCGAAAGTTGTATTTCTCAGTCCGTTTTAATCATATTTTATTTTATCGGGCCAAATAAAATATATCACGTGTTCCTAATAATTATGGGCCTTTAGAATATATGTATATTCCCCAACATTAATTTAGGAGTCTCCGAAACTCATTTCGGGCTGTTATCCGTTGAATTGCCAATACCGGTAATTGGGCCCCGTTTGACCAACCGGTCAACTCCATGCCTTTCTTATGGCCCAAATAAAATATCCACCACCATATACATATTATCTAGACCAAGATGAATATAATATGTGGTTCGGGAATTATCGGGCGGTCCACATTCCCGCTGTGGGCCCCACATGCAATTTACTATTCACGTAAAAGAAATAATGAAATTTAACAATTACGTAAATTCATAAATCATCCTTCAAGGTTTATTACATAATTTACTAAAAGTAAATATGCTCGGGGTCGGTGTTACAATGATAGTGATGACTTCGAAATGGTGAAGAGACAGAACATGCCAGAAACTGAATTGAGGAATGAACGAAAACTGTTAAAATATGAGAAATATTATCTAAGTCAAACATTTATTTTAGCATGAGTCAATAAATAGACAATGTGGAGAAAATAAATATTTAATTAGAGAAATAGTTGGGCTTTGGAAATTGAATGCACACAACAACATCAAATACAAATATAACATATGTAAAGATCAATAAATTCTATGACTAGTAAAACTTATTGATAACAACATTACGGATGACTTATTCTTTAAACCTTGTTCATTATTGAAGATTCATGTATGTTTACATTTTATATTAAGACTTAAAAGACATATGATTTTGCAGGGGAAATTGTGGTATATATGTCATAAAGTTCGCTGAGTATCTAATGTTGGATAAAGAAGTAAATGAAGTTTCGAAGGAAGACATGGATAAATACGGGAAGAAATGACAAGAAAGCTACTGATGAATGCAAAATGAAGGAAGCGGGTGGATTAAAATAGTCTGCAATACAAAAGTAATATGTGGTCTAAGATGCAATATAATGTAATAATTATATTGTTGGAAAGAAAAATGCATGTAAAAGTTTCTTCTTTTTGTCATTAAGTATTGTGATTACATATTAGTTACATTTGGTTTTGAAATATGACAATATACTATATCCTCTTTTTTGTTTCAAAAGAAATGAGTGCTCATTTTTACTTTTTATTTCATGATGAGACATGAGATCACTTTAAACTCTTATATAAATATGGAATGAAGTCCATAAGTAGTCAATAGTAGGTCATTAATAAAAACAAGTGTAGACATTAAATAACTACAACTACAGTAAGTACACAAGTCAGTTACAACTATATGTAAAAGCTTATAAAGTAACAATGGAGTTTGATAAACTGGTCAAATAAATTTTAGATACAAGACCCATGAAATATGTAAATATGAACATATTGTTGTTAAATGCGGACATCAAAACTCAGAACATTTCTCGTAAAAAACTATTACACATTTGTGCATTAAATATGAGCATATTAATCGGAAAAATTTAGTTGCAGTTTTGCATATAAGGGAAGAAACGGGAAGCGTACCGAGTAGACAAAGCCGGTATGTTAAGTGCATTTTGGAGTAGGCACTAAATATGTGCAACACAGGCAGTCAGTAATTAGATAGTAAAAAGACATTAATTTCTAAGATGATGTGTGCTGAAACATATATTATTCAATAAACTTGAGTTTGAACGACAAAATAACATACATAATCTCCAATGCCAAAAACCATGACAACTAACACAAAACATCATTGCCAATAAACCATGGCAATTTAAAAGTGCAGGGAAAAAACTAAAATTCTCACAACTCTCATTGGATGAAACGAAAGTGATAGGACATTTCGTGTTTTAAGAACTACGCACTGGAATAAGATCACTATAAGTCTTCTTGTTCTGCCTTCCTTTTTACATCATGAACATCGTTTCCGCTGCCGAGAAGAAAATTCTTCAATTGAACGTAAACGCTTCTTTTTAGGCCTAACGAGTTGACGTGTGAAAACCAATAGGCTGCACCACCCACTATAAATAGTAACCTGCACAAGTGTAACTAAAGTAAAATAGTACTCCGTAAACAATTATTTGGAAGAACATCTATAAATTCCTTATTCTTGTCAAAAATTCATTGAGGATCCATATAGTAGAATTAAAAAATACAAGTACAAAAAGCCTTGCGAAGTAGAAAAACATGTAGATGTGGAAAAAGTGATACAAAGTACAACACTTCATGCCCTCAAACCAATGGGTTATATCTTCTTCTACTTTCAGGAGTAAAACTTCATCCCCAGAAGTTGTGAAATACACTAGTTGCATACCCTGAGTAGTATCCCTGTTGTTCTGAACAAACCGGTCTAGTTTTTTTTGGGAGGCTGCACTGGTTTTTGGTTCACAACTTTTGTCGAACAATTTATCTGCATCAGTTGAACCCTCTATCTCAACAAGTTCTTAGACTACAAGCGGTTGTATCCGGTTCACCATACGACGATCACAGAGCTATATAAAGTAGAAAAAATAGAAATCGACATTGGAAACGAACTAAAAACAGGTTAGAGAAACGCTTGACATTGCAATTGCAAGTTCATAATGAGAATTGAAAATTCAACTTAAACAAACTGATAGAGATAACATAAACGAAATTCGTTCATGAAAACAACAAATTGACAAATAAATTCATAAATAAATTGACTAATAATACTTACCAAAAAGTTGCAGAGAAGTTGTCCAGGTTATGAACGTTGATGAACGACTATATGGCGCTTACAATCAATTCATGGAGATCGGTCGAAATTAGACAAGTGAGCACAACGATTAAAAATGCAAAGAAGTTTAGGTACGATTACAGAGAAGAAGAACGAAGGAGAAAAGGAGTTCGGTAGTTGCGGAAGTTGACAGTATATTGAAGCGGAAGTTATTTGTGTTCAACAGACCACTTAAAGTGAGGGTAAAAACGGAAAGTTAAAATCAACTTTCTAAACAGAACCAAATAAAACTCACGGTTGTAAAAAACATAAGACCTAATTTTTGAAAGGAGGTATGATTTGATCCTACTAAGTGCAGTTTTCTCTTAAAATAAAGAGTTATTTTTTAAATACGATGTCTTCTCTACTTCATCTGAATTATTAATTTGTTTATAAAATATAAACAAAAGAAAACTTCTAGTTAGAAAAGTCATTTACGCCTTTACGGTGATAATAACAAAAGTGTGAGGTTAATTTCGTTTATCCCAAATTATAGCCGCCATATAGGTTGAAAAAAATTCAAAAAATCCCAAACACGTCTATATGGACATAATACATAGTCCAGTAATTTGGGTGGGGCTAACAAAAATAAGGTCCGCCGAGATGCTCCGATTTAGGGATTAGTAATTTAGATTAGAAATAGGTATTTAGGGTTTTTTGCCTTTAACCGCAGCTCGATTTCTCACCTGAAGAGTTTGTAACTCTGCATGATTACAACTTTACAAGCTGTTTTTGATCTCATGGATAGTCATCCTTCTCTTCGAAGCAGAACTTCGTCGGATCTAATAAGCCAACTGCCAGAAGATTTAAAGCACAGAATACTAGAGCGTCTAGATACTCGTGAAGCGGCCAAAACTGCTCTTCTCTCAACTCAATGGAATAATGTTTGGTTGCGACATGGCCGACTTGCCTTTACTGATGAGGTCTTATTAGGAGAAGGTGAAGGCGTTAGATGCTCGAAAATGATCACTAATGCTCTGTTACTCCGTCCTGGTCCGGTTAAGAAATTCACTCTGGATACTTCCCAATGGGAACCTGCTATGCAGCAGTCTGATTTAGATCTCTGGTGTCGTTGTCTATCAAAAAATGGTATTGAGCATCTTAACCTCACTCTTGATGCTCATGTCATGGCAGATAACTACACACTACCTGTTTGTATAATTATCTGCCCCACAATCAAACAACTGAAACTTGAGTCTATTGATATGTGTTTGCCAGTCAATACTCGACCGGGTAGTATGTTTTCTGGTGTTACCTCTTTAGAGTTCACTTACGTTGTGTTTCGCCGTGATGATAACCTCACAGTTATCCATAGTATTCCTTATCTTGAGGTGCTAGTATTCAGGGAATGTGATGGGATAGATATGTTCGTGATCAATGCTCCAAGACTTAAATACCTCAGCTTCTTCGATGCTGAGTTCGTGGCTGAATGGGAATGGTTTGAGCTTCATTTTCGTGTCATTAATACTCTTTGCTATGGTGCATATGCGTTTTTGGTGAGAATCATGTCTTCCTAACATGATGCACCATTCATAAAGAATAGGCCCCTCCGCCCCTGATACATATGTTTTTTCTCTAGTCTCATTCAAGGTTAACCAATTACTTTGTTTTGTGTTTGACTTTATAAAGAGTAACACTGATGCTACGATAAATATCCAAGAGAGGCTTCCAATTGCTACAAATCTACAAGTGATTGAGCTGCATGATTTTAGGTTTGCTGATCTGAATTGCGTTAATCTTGTTATTCAATTCCTTCGGAAATGTCCAAAGCTACACAAACTGGAGATATTTATATTAGACTATCAGGTTGTAATTCCCCACAATTACACGTCTTTTTTGTGTGATTAAGATCGAGATATTTATGTTCTAGTATTTTTTTAATTCTTGTCATGCAGTCACATTTGTGGGGTGAAGCTGATCCAACTATTTTGAGAGATCTGGACAGTTGGTTTAGTGATCTGGATCTCGGAGAGCTTAGAACAGTAAAGATGAAATCATTTTGCGGATCAAGACAGGAAATGCTCTTTATCAAATTAATTCTATCAAAGTCTCCCTCCCTTGAGGAAGTTTTAATTACAAAATCAGGTCACATTGGTACCTCTGTGGCTTTAAAAGTACTAACGGAGATGATCTCCTGCCCTCGTGCGTCGCCAAAAGCAAAAATTGTTTTTCTGCGACATAGCTAGGTGCTGCTCTATTTCCTGAAAATTAGGCATTTGTATCCCTTTATAAGCATCTCCATCGATTCTGCGTGCATAGGTTCTACACAAAATTTTGAAGTCCTTTTGGTGTAATATATTTGGTGACATCCAATTTTTTGACAATTTATTTTGTGATCTATGGTTTCTTCTATTTTCATTTCCATCATTTGCAATGGAGCCAAAGATTCATTATTTTTTGGCTTGAGGTTATGATGGAATAAAGCAAAATGGCTCACTAAACTGTCTGCGCTTCTTTGTTATGGAGCAGCAGTCAGTCCATGCAATCTTGGACGCGATTTTCACTATGGGTCATCCGGAAACAGTCTCTATGTGCTTTAGTACAGGGGTAAGACTGCGTACATCCGACCCCCCCTTACCCCACCGTAGGTGGGAGTCTTTGCGGCACTGGGGTAAATGAAAATGAAAAATGAAAATGATGGTTTCTTCTATTTTCATAACCACATATAAGTCACAGGTTGTGTAAGTTATTTTATAACTTATTGGTTCTTCAGTTTTCATTTGAGGTTTGAAACCGATGAGCACGGGAAACTGGAGCCTCGTGAAGTGATATTAGGTTATATACAACCACATTTAAGTCACACGTTACAAGCTTTTACTTTTTACCGATTAAAGATAACAGGCTATATAAGTTATGCTATAACTTATGGGTTCTTCAATTTTCTTTTGAGCTTCGAAACGGATGAGCATGGGAAAGTGCAGTGCTCGTGAAGTGACATTAAGTAGTATAACCACATTTAACTCACAGGTTACAAGGTTTTACTTTTTACTAATTGAAAGGCGCAGGTAATATGGAGTATATGCTACATATAAGTAGAGCCATAGTTGTCATGGCGCATGGCGACATCCATAGTGCCCATGCCTTTTCCCATGACGATGGCGATGGTGCAAATATGGCGTCACCACGTGACAAAAAAGAACGACAAAACGAATTATATACGGTATCATTGATCACCCCTACCACCAAAACATGATTAAAAAAAACTTGAATAACAACATTTTAACCAAAACATGTGAGTTAAAATAGTTTAAAGTACTTCCAAAAACCTAATATTCAAAAAAAAGTTTCATGTCTTGCAATTTGAAGTATCAAGCAAGTATTCGTGCTTTAAGAAAGTAGCTTCCTGCTATATTTAATAGGAAGGATTCCTGTTAAGATTGTGTGTGTTACACTAGTCTTTGATCACTGATCTTTTTTTATAAATAGTTTAAATACTGATCACTGGCTTCCTGTTTAGAAATAAAACCTTTAGGCTTTTGATCGCTGATCTTTAGGCTTTCCACGTTTGATATTTCCAGCAATACCCAATCGGGTATGGTCATATACTCGATCGGGTATGAGTAAAGTTCTCCATTTTCGAAGTGGGTACTCGATCGAGCATTCTTGGCAATTTTTTTTTTTGATTTTTCCAGCCATACCCGACCGGGTATGGGTATATACCCGACCAGGTCTAAAGATTTGTTCGGGTACGAGGCGTGTACTCGACCGGGCAAGATTAACCGAAAGTTTTTCCTTAAGGGCTCGAGTGATACCCGACCGGGTAGAGGTCCTTACCCGACCGGGTATGGGGTAGTCTTAAGCTGAAATTTTTTTCGTTCAGTCCTTTTCAGTTGAGATGTTGGGTAGTGTGTCTTACATGGCTTACATATGTAGGAACACTAAAGATCAATGGTAGACATGCGAGAATTCTCATCGACACCGGGGTCAACGTTCATTTATGAGCGAAGCATTTGCCAAGGGATTGGACATGCCTTTAATAGCAATGGCACAACCTTTGTTGGTCTCTACACCGTTGGGTGATGACGTGGAAAGGAAACACTACTATCCTTCATGTAACGTGGAGATAGGGGAGCACCGTCTAACGGGTGTTTTCGTGCTGTTAGATATGCTCGAGTTTAACGCTATACTTGGCATGGGTTGGCTTGAAAAACACAATGCGAAAGTAGATTGTTACACCAAGGTGTTAGAACTAAAAGACGGTGAGGGAAGTACTCTATGCTTCGAGGGAGATAGAGGGAAATTCAATCCTTGTATCATATCGGCCATAAGAGCAAGGCGTATGATGAGGAAAGGGTGTCAGGCTTACTTAGCCTATGTCATAGGCAAGGAAGACAAAGGAAAGAGCCTCATAGAAGTGAGGGTGGTGAGCGAGTATCAGAAGTTTTCCCTGAAGAACTCCCGGGACTCCCACCAGAGTTGAGAAATTGAGTTTGCAATTGAAGTAGAACCAGGCACGAAACCTATCTCGATTCCTTCATACCGAATGGCACCGGTTGAACTTCAAGAGTTGAAGGTTCAATTGGAAGAATTACTGGATAATGGGTTCATTAGACCAAGCCATTCGCCTTGGGGGCACCAGTTCTTTTTGTAAATTAAAGAAGAAGGATGGTTCACTTAGAATGTGCATTGATTATCGACAATTGAACAAGGTCACGATAAAGAACAAATATCTTTTGCCAAGGATTGATGACTTGTTTGATCAACTACGGGGGGCAACCGTGTTCTCTAAAATCGACTTGAGGTCGGGCTACCACCAACTGAAAATCAAGGAGAGTGACATACCTAAAAGTGCATTCCGTACAAGGTATGGTCACTATGAGTTTCTAGTAACGTCGTTTGGGCTTACGAATGCCCCCGTGGCATTCATGGACCTCATGAACCGAGTATTTCACCAATACTTGGACCAGTTCGTCATAGTATTCATAGATGACATCTTTATATACTCCATGAATGAAGAAGAACACGAGAAACATCTAAGGCTTGTGCTTGAAACACTGCGGGAGAAACAACTCTTTGCCAAATTTTCTAAATGTGAATTTTGGCTTGGGGAGATCGGTTTTCTCGGGCACGTGGTATCGGGATCGGGCATTTCAGTTGATAAATCGAAGATTGAAGCAGTCACTAATTGGGAGAGACCCAAGAATGTGAAGGAAATAAGGAGTTTTCTTGGTTTAGCGGGGTACTACCGCAAATTCGTGGAGAAGTTCTCGATGATAGTGTCACCACTCACAAAGCTCACTAAAAAGGGGGCTAAGTTCGTGTGGGATGACAAGTGTGAGAAGGGATTTCTTGAGCTAAAGAAACGGTTGACTGAAGCACCAGTACTTGCTCTAACCGTACAAGGGCTTGGGTATGACATTTATAGCGATGCTAGCATCCAGGGGCTTGGGTGTGTACTGATGCAATCGGGTATGGTAATTGCTTATGCTTCTCGGCAGCTGAGAAAGCATGAAGTAAATTATCCCACACATGATTTGGATCTAGGAGCTGTGGTGTTTGCTTTGAAGATTTGGAGGCATTACCTCTACGGAGAGTTGTGTCACATCTATACCGATCACAAGAGTTTGAAGTATGTGTTCACACAGAAAGAGTTGAACATGAGACAAAGGAGATGGATGGAGTTGATCAAGGACTACAAGTTGATTATTGAATATCATCTAGGGAAGGCTAACGTGGTAGTCGATGCTCTTAGTAGGAAGAGTTCATCAGGGTTTTACTCACATGCTTACAAGCATTGAGGGCACACGTGGAGTATTCCATGGATGGGGCGTTATTGGCCAGATTTGAGGTGAGACCCACCTTATTAGACGAAATCAGAACATGTCAAGGCAATGACGAGGAATTTCAGAAAATCCGGGAACGGATGCTTGTGGGGCCCGTCGAAGGTTTCCGTGAGAGAGAAGATGGACTCCTACTATTCAAGGAACGGGTGTGTGCCATCAAATGAGGAGCTCCGTAAATCTATCCTTGAGGAGGCTCACTCATCTGCATATTCCATGCACCCAGGCGGTACGAAGATGTATCGGGATTTGAAAGAAAGTTACTGATGGTCGGGGATGAAGAGAGAGATTGTAGAATATGTGAGTCGTTGCCTTTTCTGTCAACTGGTTAAGGCAGAGCACCAACACCCAACAGGATTATTACAGCCACTTACCATTCCAGAATGGAAGTGTGAGCATGTTACCATGGACTTCGTGGTGGGTCTGTCACGAACGGTTAGGACCTACGACACGGTATGGGTGGTAGTTGATAGGCTGACCAAGAGTGCTCATTTTCTACCGATCAACACTACCTATACGCTTGAGCGACTGGCCAAGTTGTACACTGATGAGATTGTGAGACTGCATGGGGTTTCGGTTACTATAGTATAGGATAGAGACCCACGGTTCACATCACGGTTTTGGCCTAAGTTCCAAGAATCCATGGGTACGAAATTGAGGTTTAGCACCGCATTTCATCCTCAAACGGATGGGCAATCCGAATGGGTGATTCAGATTTTACAGGACATGTTGAGGGCATGTTCTTTGGAGTTCTAGGGAAGCTGGGACAACCAGTTGGCTTTGGTGGAATTCGCTTATAACAACAGTTATCAGGCAAGTATAGGCATGCCTCCATACGAGGCATTGTATGGGAGGAAATGTGAGACACCTTTGTGTTGGGATGAGGTAGGCGAGGCTAAGCTTGAGGGCATCGAGCTAGTAGAGATCACCAAGGAGAAGGTGAAAGTTATTCAGGATAGGCTCAGGACTGCCCAAGATCGGCAGAAGAGCTCTGCAGATAAACATCGGAGGACATTGGAGTTTGAGGTCGGCGATGAGGTGTTTCTGAGAATGTCACCTTGGAAAGGGATTATCAGGTTCCTCAGTCGGGGTAAGCTTAACCCAAGTTACATAGGCCCATTCAAAATCATTGAAAGAATTGGGGTCGTAGCGTACCGACTTCAGTTAACTCCAGAGTTGGAAAAGATTCATACGGGACCCGTCACATATCCTTGAGAAACCACCGGTAGAAATCCGAGAAGACCTACACTATACGGTGCAGCCGGTAAAGATCATAGACCGACAGGTAAAGAAGCTAAGGAGCAAAGAGGTGCCGATGGTAAAAGTACTTTGGAAGAGTGATCGCGTCGAGGAGCAAACTTGGGAAGTGGAGACCCTGATGAGGGAACAATATGAATTTCTGTTTGACCAGACACGTGGATTTCGGGGACGAAATCCCAAATAAGGGGGGTAGAACTTGTAACACCGCCCCCAAGTATTTGTACTTTATCAAATTATGTATTGAATCCTAAGAAAATGAATAAA